TACAATCTATAATTGCTAATTTACCAGAATATTAAGTTGAGATTCTTTATAGAGATATATAAAGTTTGTTAAGAATGGTGTTAAAAATATTATGGATATGATGATATTCTTGGAATTGGCAGTAGTGGAGTGAAGAGAGTGATGTGAAAAATATAAAATGCATCAACTTGTGTGCCATGATACATTCAAAAATGCCAAATAATTTTTTTTTATTATTAATTGTTTTTCTTCTTTAAAAAAGTTTAAAAAATATCATCGTTTTATTACATCATTATTGTTCATAAATTAATGTGATTAGGATTCGAACCTATTACTCATTAGTTGAATTTCAATTTTTGCATACACAATTTTACTATTTGTTAATTATTGTGGCTTGAACTATATTTAAACTATTAAAATGTCATTCAACCTTAAAATATCATAAGATCATCAATCAAATGACAATTACATGACAGTCATGGCACAATTTCTCAATACAATATTTTAAAGTATTTCACTAGTCACATAAAGTCAAAAGACAAATTTCATAAGAGCCACATAAATTTCGAAAACTTATTCATTCTAAATGTATGAGGAAAATTTTTATGGAAAATTTCGAAATGAGATTTTCTTGTATTAAAAATAAAAAGTCGTTATTAAAATTATTGAAACTATTTTTGAGGAGCACTTAAAATTTATTGCTGTGGCTTAAAGTATTATTGTAATTTTTTTAAGGCAGAAATACATTCAGAAGGGGTTTTTTTGGGTCAACTCAGCTTTTTTGAAATTCCTCTGTCCAGATTTGATTAAATCTAGCTTCTCAATACATGGGCGTAGCCGGGAGGGTTCAGGACCCCCTACCCTAAACGTTTTGAACTACAACGTGAGCACTGCTCAGTGTTTTTAAAATTTTAAGCCATTTCATTTTCACAACATCTGATACCAAGAGTAACTCTACTATTTATAGTAAGCAATAACAGTCTCAAACAACCCCAAATAATCATCAAAATTAAGAATCATTGTAAAATTCAATGGCAATTTCTGATATCTTGAAATCTTCATTCTCGCAAGGAAGTCGTAATGATTAATAAAAAATAATTTTATAGAGATCTTAAAATAAAAGCTGTTAAATGATTAAAGATAAAATGGGAACACACGAAAGTCAAAAATAATATTTCAATACATGAAATACTGAAGATTTTTATTAGAACAATAAAGATAATTAATCAGTGACTATAAAAAGAATCTTTGTTTATTTAAAGAAACATCAGTTTTTGGATGTTTACTACACATATACTGAATTAAATTGGAAATTCCAAATTTCTAGCACGTGAGCGTGGTTGTTCAATCTTCACGCAAATAATTTACTTAATTATCATAATCAGGAGACAGACACTGCAGTATTTAGTCACCAAACAGTCAAACCGTATTATAACAGGCAATAAAATAATACATTAGAAATTTCAGACATATGTTTTATCAAGTCTTATCAAACTAAAGCGTGTGTGTTCCAATTTTTTTTTTTCGTCGACTCGAAACACGTTTTTTAATCTATAAGCACACTACCGAAGTCAAATTCCACGAAGAGAAATACGCTCTAAAATTATAATAATATAAAATAGCGAAAGAGCGAACAGATGATGATGAAGTAAAGACAAAAACCATTATTTGCGAACAAAAGTGATAAGGCAACAAGAAGAAACGTAATAAGAAATAAAAATGTACACGAAAAAACACTTGAAAGTCGATTGAAAGGTATTTATCGGGAATGAAAAATAAAAGTTTTAAAATAATAATTTTTTTAAAAAGAATAACAAGCTACGGAGACTCAATAGTGAGGTGTGAATCAACCTAGATACCGGCATAACTTGGAATCTTCTGAAATAAAAGTTTTTCATCTTGATACCTTTAAAAAAAAGTTTGAAGAACTTAAGTGAAAGAATACATAACCTCAAATGGAATTTGAGTTGTCATAGTAAGATTATTTGAGAAAAGTTTTTGAGCGTAGGTGGAAGTTACACAAAGACTTTTGTAATGATACAGTTAACATTTGCGTAAGAGAATTAGGAATATACTTTGAATCATTGCTAAGATACTAAAAATCTTTTTATTTTTCTAACCTACTCAATCTTCTTTATATTATAAGGGATCATTTACTGAAGACATTCGTTTTTATACTTTTAAATCTGTAAATAAAATCAACAAAATTACATTTTTTGATAAATTGATTAAATTTACAATATTAAGATAATAATTATAAGTTTAAAGGATGCTACTTTCGTTATGCTAATTATTTATTATGTTTTATTTAAGAGAAAGGTTTGATTTAATCATTATTTAAATTCATGCAAAAATTTTTGAATATTCATATTTTTAATTAAATTAAAAATTAAATAAATCAATTATTAAAATCTAGATATTATTTTGAAATTCCTTGTATTATCAAGTATTGATCTAGGTATATATGGATCTGAACTAGTTGACAACATAAAGTTGAACTCAAACACACCAGGAAGACATTAATTGCCCTTTAAAACATCAAACCATTCATCTCATGATTAAATTTAATAAACCAGGCACAAACAATTAGCACAAATATTTCAAAATAAACAATATTTCTTTAAATGTTTGCGAATTTTTCAAAACCAGGTGTTTTAAATCAATTTCCAATACACAAGCAGAACAATGCTGTTTTATTCTTGACTTTTAAAAATAAATTAGCCATTGAATATTAATAGCATTAAATGAAATTTATATAATAATTTAATATTCTAAAGGACGAATTGAAGCTTAAAAGAAATAATCAATTTTTTTCAACAATTCACCCATAAAAGGTTAAAATAATGAAAAAATGTTAAAAAGTCATATTGATAATAGACTTTATTCTATTTTATTGACTTTCTTTTAATTCACCTTGAGAATTTCAATAATTTCATTGTACTCGAAACTGCCTTGAACAAAATTTTGAAGGTTCATTTGTGTCTATTTTGATTTAGATTAAGTTCCTATGCTTATTAAGCAGAACCTCACATGGATGAAGTGTGGATTTATGATAATGAAGATTAGTAGGGTCAGATTCGGTAGGAAGGGGAGAGGGGCTACCCCTAATTCGACAGAAAATTGCCAAAAATATTGACATAAAATAGAAATAAATAAAAATCTCCACCCCCCACTCCAAAAACAATTTCAATGACTCCCCCTTTGCCAATCATCATTAAACTGTCTCAACCATCTAAACCAGAAAGGTCAATGAAGTTTTAAGCTTAGAAAGAGAATATCCACAATTTTTTTAAAAATTCCCTCTCCGCTCCTCTCACCGGAGGGAGACTATAAAACCAAAAAGAACATATTAATGCTTACGCAACTATTGAAACAAGTGGCAGAAGAAAAAAAAATATATAAATTTTGAGAGTTTCTCACATGTCTTACGACTCACGAAAAATAAACTGTCTCGCTAGCTAGAAAAAAAATAATGAATGAAAATGAGACCAATTCAATCGAAAACTCTTCGTCGACGCTTCATCACATCTTTCCACAAGTGCGCCGCACACAAAAAAAAAATCTAATAAAATTCCATGTTCTTCTTGTAGCCTGTGAAAAGCTTTTTGGAGAAAGCACAACCGTGGGTAAAAGTAGATAAAAGAAGTGGAAGGAAATTTGTGCAAAAAATTTATTAGATTTTTATTGGAATTTAAAGCGCATTTTATGGGATATGTGTTGAAGAGTTTCGAAAAGTTTTGAAATTTTTGTGACAAGCTTTGTGGATTGTGAAGAAAATATGGCACAGTTTGAGAATTACACAATAATCGACAGTTTTTGTTCAAATGACTAGTTTGATAGATTAAAAAAGTTTTAAAAACACGTGGTTTTTGAGTTTGTTGAATTGTAGAGTGCTCTTATTAAAACTGGAACAAAGTGGAACAAACGAGAAATATAATAGAAAACAAGATTAAGTTAGGAGAAATTGTGGATGTTATCTAGGTCTTGGAGTGTATTGTGAGTTGATTGTAGGCTGGGTTGGGTTAGGTTCTGCTGTTTAAAAGCATTTAAATGATTTTTGTAAATTCAAGAGTATTTTTTAATGCTAGAAGTAAGATTATGCTAGATTTGAAATTAAAAGCTGAATTAGACTGACTAGACTTTATAAAAAACTGAATTTAAATATTTGTACAAGATATATCCCAATAAAAGTTAAATACAATAAGAAAGACCACATCAAGGGGGAAACAGCATCAAGGGGAAAGCAAAATGACAGGAAATGAGTAAAAATTATGATAAAAAATACCTGAAAATTAATTTGAATTTCACATCAATCCTTTTTTCATCATGTTGTTTCCCCCCTCAGTTTACTTCCAATAAAAGCCACATATTATCACTTCTCAATAAAGCTAGTACAACGAATTCGCATAAAACCATGACATAACTCTAAGTAAACTTCCATTTTAATCATATCAATAAGGCCATATCACTCATGTGATATAAAACTTGTTCAAACAGAAAAAAAACAGACCAGCCATAAAAGACTACAGCTGCTTCACACAAAAATGTGCTAAAATATTTTTTCTCTTCTTGACATGCGACGAGCCTTTAAAGAAGGACTTTTAAGCTTTTGCGCAGTACGTTTCTCCGTATAAAAGCTTTTGTCGTACGTGTGCCAGTTTCTCCTCATTCAAACATTTCTCATACATCCTTCAAGCCAGCAAAAGATTTCATATTTTCACTCATTTATCGTAAAAAAAATGGAAGTTTTATTGAATGAGCAGGCAACAAGTGTTGATTATTGTAATTCGCAAAATGGTGCAATTAGTGAACGACTCAGTTGTTATTATAAAATAATAATCGTGTAGTTTTCCTCCAAAATTTAGCATTTTTCATTTCGTATTGTGAGTGCATATAAAAAAAAGAAGAAGTACGCCATCATGCTGAAATGTATGAAAGTTCAGTAGAACATAAAAGTGGGTGAATACAAAAAAAGAGAGAATTAAAGCTTTAAGAAAAATTTTAAGTCAAATTATACAAATATGGGTCATCGATTAGCTTTGGAAAAGCATGTGAGACTTGACTCGGAGTGTGAACCAAGTGAGTGTGTTTGCATGATTCATTCTTAATTATTGTCCTCCTTATGTGAATTAATCATGAGCTCCGATTCTTTATATTTTATGACACAGTAGATGTAAATTATTATTTTTCATTCATTTCCTAATGTTTTGTTTCTATTTTCATGTTACTATATAGTCATGATGCCGTGGATGGTACCATTTCTTCGTTTTTCTGATGACTCATTGAAGACATCATTCCAAGAACAGCTGAGTTTAATGCGAAAGAATCGCTTGTTTTGTGATGTTATTTTACAAGTTAGTATTATTTATATTTCAATCAGGGGAAAATCAACTTTGATTCAAAGCAAATCTGAGCAATCGCAGCACTTTGTTTGTGAAAAAAAAACTAAAGTCAATGCTCTGGAAGTAGTAAGGTCATTATAATGTGTGTCATTTTATGCAACGTAACAGATTTTTCAATTGAGAAATTTCCTTTGGCATTTTTCGAGAATTTTAAACGATTTAAAGTTGATATTCCCCTGTAATTGACATTCACTATCGTCAATACTTATCAATTAACATGAAATATGCAAAAATCAATTACCAACACCAATACAGGTTGAGAATACAGAAATTCCAGCACATCGTAATGTTTTGGCTTGTGTTTCACCTTATTTAATGGATCTTTTCAGTGCCGAACAGGTAGTTATTAAAGATTACTGATTTTTTACACTAGTATTGAAGCTTATGATAAATAATTAATTGCAAAAAAAAAACAATAGAACACATGCAATGATGGAAACATTCCAAGTTATCGTTTGAATGGATATATTACAAAAGAAGGATTAAACATTCTCGTTGAATATGCATATACAGCACTGTTGGAAGTGCCTGAAGATATGGTAAGCATGACAAATTCCTGCAAATTTTCCGAGGGGGTAACAACATGATGGGGAATATTTTTTGTTGGGAAATTCAAACCATTTCTAGTCCTAATTTGAAATGGAATACTGATGAAAATTTTCAACCAAAATATCCCACCATGTTGTTATCCCCCCAAAATTTAAAAATAATAAAATTCAAACATTCTCATCAAAACGTGACTTTTTAGATTAAAGACGTTTATTTAGCCGCATTTCAATTACGTATCGAACGTGTTGTCAACGAATGTGCAGCTCATCTAGTATCAGACCTATCGTCTGATACGTCAATTGAAACACGTTCGCTTCCAGGGATTAATCGTAATAAGAATTTCGTCAGTAAGGTGGACCAATTCATATCGGAGCATGTAAGATCATTTAAAAGCCATTTATTCCAAGGATTGGTAACTCGAAAGAAAAATTTGAATTTTTAACAAATTTAATTTTTTTATGTATTTTTGACACTTTTTTCAGCCTCAAAATTTTAATCCTCATAATTTTTTTCACAAACTTTTATTAGGACTGATTTTTCTTAAATTTACCATTACTTGCAATTTTTTCGTAGCTATTGACTATTGAAATTCATTACTAATGCTCGTTTCTCTATTTCATCCTGGTAGTTTGGTGAGCTAACACAAACAACCAGCTTCCTACAGCTTCCATCCATCCAGATCGAAGTCCTACATCAAACAAAGCAAGAGATGGCCATGGTCGCTGAGGACAGCTTGTGTCGTTTGGTGCTCGATTGGATTAAGCGCGAGATTAGCGATCACAGTGCATCGGTAACTTGAATATAAATATAAAATAAAAAATATATTTTTCGCATAAGAAGCCATATTTTTTGCATATAAAAAATGCGCCTAGAGGAACACGACAAATATTTCTTTTTCTTGTAGATCGCTTCATTGAGCGAACGTTCACACATGTTGTTCCTTGCTCTTGACAATTCATTGCAAGATGTCTCGGATCTGATCGGCGAAAAAGCGAATTCCGACTTGGTGAAAGACTATAAGAAGTTGGCATCGAAAAATCCGAGTAGTAATCCGAAAACGCGTCGCAAGTGTGTCTCGCAACCGGATAGACCACGTATTTTGCTCTACTCTCGCGATATTAGTGATCGAACGTACGACGAAGTTGCATGCGGTGATGCAGATTGGAATGTTATTTCATCAATGAAATTATCGGATCATACATTCATCTCATTGGTCACATTAAATGGCAAATTGTGTCGTATATCCATTCAATTGCGTCTCAATAACATTACTATATCAACATCAGAAACAACATCATCAAATGTCTCATCAACGCCATCACCAATTCCTCACAATGACAGTAGCATCTCGCTTGATGCTAAATTGGAACTTGACAGAGCTTTTGAATTCAGCAGCATTGATCAGCCAGAATTATTCTGTGAGATTGCAACCATGTCCGAAAGTAAATGTGGACTTGGTGTTGCTGAGCATGAGGGACAATTAATTGTAGTCGGTGGCTACGGACGAACAGAATGCTTAAAATCTGTCGAAAGCTATTGTCCAGTTACAAATAGATGGACTGAAAAATTGAGCTTAAATGAAGCACGTGGCCGAGTTCAAATTGCTATTATAAATGACATCGTATTTGCGGTTGGCGGCTCGAATGGTGTTAATGAATTAGATACTGTCGAATGCTTATCATTGATTGACAGTTTGAGTGATGGAAAGAAGAAAAAATGGAAGAAATGTGCTAATTTGCCATTCCCTCGATCAAATACCGGAGTATGTGCATTGAATGGAAAAATTTATTGTGTCGGTGGCAATTCCACTGGACAAAATGGAATACGACAATGTGATGTGTATGATCCCGAGACAAATAAGTGGACATCGATTGCACCACTTAATACCGGTCGCTGTCAAGCCGGAGTTGCTGCATATAATGGAAAATTATGGGCAGCTGGTGGTAGTGATGCATGGAACTGCTTAGTAACGGTTGAATGTTATGATCCAGAAGAGGATACATGGTCTGCTGTCGCACCACTTTTAACAGCTCGTCGTGGTTGCGGCTTGGCTGAATTGAATGGTAAAATGTATTGTGTCGGTGGCTCTGATGGCTCACAATCCTTAAAGTCAACAGAATATTACGATGAAGCAACACAAGCTTGGGTGTTTGGACCATCATTAATAACAGCACGTTCAATAGTGTCTGTGGCAGCAATAAATAATCGACTTTATGCGATTGGAGGATTCTCAGGCAAGAAGTTCCTCAACACCATTGAGTATTTTGACGAGGAAGCAAATGAATGGACCAAATTTGCAAAGCTCCAACCAATAATGACAAGTAGTAGCTCAAACATAGATAGTGAGGAAGAAGACAAGAATGACATAATTCGAAATGATTTAAATGATGTGATTAATGATTTAAAGCAGAAAGCTACTCTAAAGATATCAGAAAAAGATAAGATACGAGAAGATGAATCTGAATCCACAGCCATAATAATGCCTCTTTAAACAGTTTTTTGAATGAACATTTAAATTTTACTAAGGCACGTTTAGTGCCCCACGTCATATACTTTACATTTCTCTACGTTTACTTTTATGCATTCGTATAATTTGATGAATAATTATATTAAATAAGGGAAAATACATACATACATTAAAACTTATAAATTCAAGAGGGGCAAGAACCTAAATGCTCACATATTCGCGACCTTGTTTTTAATGGAAAAAAAATAATAATAAAAGAAAAAAATATTCAACAACAATTTTACCTATTATAATTTTTTTTACATCATATGAAAAACGAAATACTTTTTTATATGCAAGAAAGAAAAATCATGATAATGAATAAGTCCAATTTGATATGTTAACTACTTAAACAATGACTACATATGATAGGGGTGAACATTTTCATGTCCATGATATTTGGGATCCATCTATTTTCGGATCATCCCAGACCCCCTTCACATACATCCTAAACTTAACTAAATGAATAATATTAAAAAAAATGTCACAGATTTTACGATTTATCATGGATTAAATAGACATACGAGAGTTTTAAAAAAATCTATACGTAAGGGATTTAACTATATTGAAAGTAATTCGATTTATGAGGATATGCTGACCATTCTATTTGATAAAAAAAAAGATAAACAAACAGGAAATAAAGTCTTTACAACATAATTGCTGAGGAATTTTTAAATGAGAGACTCTTTGTCTACTCCGACTTACTAACATCCCCCGATCCATCTTTCATTTTCACACACACACACCCCTTAAAAAAACTCTTTGTATTTTTTAAGAGAATTATACATAAGACAGAAATTAAGATTTTTTGTGGAGGAGCTAAATGATAAATTAAATAAAAAAAATATTGAAATTAAATGTTGAAAAAGCTATTTGTGACATTGCACGACTCAAATTGTCTTTTTCGCTGTTTCGGTGAACATTTGAAATAACTACTAAACAGTGTTAGTTTAAAACATAAATTAAGGATTTAAGCATAAAAAACATTTTAATAAATGATAATGGTCCTATTTTAGTTTTAAGCTCTACGCCCGAAGAATACACATTCAAGTTCTTAATTTCCTAAATATGATGATTTCTTAGCAATTAGTTAACCTTATCGACTCTTAAATATGTAAGGATGATGAGGGGTTGCTTGGTTATTGTTGCATTCTGAATGACTTGCTGAGTTGATGTCGAATTGTTATTGTGTCAATTTCAAGTTATTCTTTCATGTAGCTACTTTATAATCACTCACATAGTGTCCTTTCAAATTACAAAAAAGCTACATGAATAGCTTGAATTAAATTGGCAAAGCTACTCTATGTGAGGCGCTAACCTATCAACTTAGATTCCTAAAGACCATACCAACCTTCTCCTTTCCTCTCAGAATCCCCTCAAATTTCCAAAGCAGTAATAACCAACAACTCCTCAAAATTATTTTATTTAGACTTTTTTTTGACTTAAAAATGAGGTTTTAAGCTTTTTCATTTGTATTTTCTAAAAATAAAATGGACGATAAAAAATGAATTTTACAATAGATAAATTAAGATATTTAAACAGAAAAAGTTGATGAAAGACATTAAAACAAAATTGACAATGCAAAAACAAATTTCAAGAAGAAGAAAAAAAATCATCAAAAAATTTGGATGAAAGCGAGTAAAAAAGTAAAAAAAAAAATAAAGATAAGAAAAAAACGCACAGATAATTTGTTGTTATTTCACTATCAATTTTTTTATATTATTAACATTATTATTTACAGCAAAAAAAAAGAATCTCAATTACAGATAATGACAATGTTGCCATGACTCTTTGTTGTACGTCATGTCTGACCTCAAAATTATCAGCAAAAACTTTGTCAAATGAATGATGTTATCGTTTGCACTTGAAAAAGAAGTTCAAAAATTATTATTTTTCATTCATAAAACTTGTCAGACTGTAAAGATAAAAGCACCACTGAGTAGTAATAAAAATGGAATTATTTATGGAACTTGGTCGTCTTTGTTTAAGTTTCATTGAGAATTTGCTAGGCTGTGATGAACATAGAGGAAACAGAAGGATATCTAGAGTGTTTAAGATTAAGATGAATTATTGACGGCCTTTTTGCTATTTATGGTTTTTATATCGGAAGTAAATGGCTGAACAACCACTTGCTACACTATTAAGTTGGGTCTAAGATCATGTGACAGTTTACATACAAAAATTAATCATTACGAAGAGAAAAGGAAGATGTGATTTGAGAAGGGATAGAGGACTGTTTGTGATCAATTTAATTCGGCACAAAACTGCTATAAGACTTCTTGAAAGCTGTTTTAAAAAATATATTAAAAATACAAAATCAAATGCCCCAACAAGAAAGTAAAAATTACTTGATCTTTGAAGAAAGCAATGTCTGATCAAAATTTTATAAATTTCCCAAACGGTTTTAATAAATTTATATTGTCGAAGCTTTCGAAATCATGAACAAAGTTCTTTGATATACATTGAAAATGAAACATTTGGGCAAGACCGTTTTTCGATTAAGTGTCAGATTTTGCTATTATTTCGTTTATATCTCTGTAACGAAAATACTTACTGTAAAACTAAACATACTGTTTTATAGAACTTTTTGATGCCTATCTTTTGGTATGTAACTTTTTATTGGAAGTACTATACTTAAGGCTGTAGAGCCTGAAAATAGGCAAAATCTGACACTGAATTTTTGGGAAGGGTATTTGAAATTTTACTAAAACTAGTTTATCTCGCTTAGTTTTACACCGATTTCGATAGTTTTTTCAGCAATAGTTAGTTTAAAACAACAGTTATCATTAAAAAGTAATAAAAACAAAATGGCGACTTAATAAGTTAATTTAATTAATGTTTTTAACCTTATTTTCCTATATTTTACTATCAACTTTTAACTTACTTAACTTTTTTCTTGACACAAATATAGTTTTAGACCTTGGCTTTATGATAGAAGTCAAAAATTTTTGAGAAAAGTAGTATAATTAACTTTTTTTGGTCATTTTGTAAAATTGCCTTTAAATGGCAATTGAATAGATATTCTTTTAATTTTATGATGTAAAATGATAATTATACATCAAATATGCTTAGTTTTAGCAAAATATATCACAATATAATGTTATAGAACAAGAAAAAAGCAAAAACTTTAAAAACTTTAACCAAAAATTTTCAACCGTTTTTGAAAATTTAAATTTTTGACTTTATTAAAGAGTTGTAAAATAAACTTTTAGTTAAATTAACTAAATTAGAAGGCTTTATTACAGTAAATTCTTGCAGGAAAGTTGTAATTTATCATTAATTAATGCTTTTTGAGGGACAATAATGAAAATTTCATTGAATTTAAATGTAAAATCAATTTTGGTTAATTTAACTAATTTTGTGTATTAATTTGAAAATGTGTGTATGATAAATGAAAGAAAATAAGATTCTCAACAACTTTTATGAACATATCAGCCCCTTTTACAGCTTCCTTCTTGGATAAAAATCACTTTGAATGTTTGATTTAGAAATTAAACTAACTTATAAAGTCGCCATTTTAAAATTATTGGGTTAAAAATTCAGTTTTTATATTTGGCTATAAGCCACTGAAAGAATTGTGACGATTGAATTACTAAACTCTGAGTGAATCAACTTTCAATATTTGTTCACTTTTTTCGCGGTCTTGCCCATTTTCTTTTTGTTTGATCTGAAAGCATGAATAGCCTTAAATGACTTATTATTTATTCCAGAATGCAATTTTATAGTTAAATCTAAGGCTGTCTATCGATTTTTGACTGAAAATTGAATCATTTTGATAAAACACGAGACGCAGGATTGAAGCTCATTTTCGTTGAGACTTGGGATCAATATCGATTCTATATCTATATTAGCATTCTTTATCATTTATAATACCTAGATATCGATACTCGACTTGACTAGCTTGGGACGGGGATTCGTGTTTAATTTCAATTTTCTGAGGCCTTTATAAAAAAAACTTGAACATCACACCCCCCCCCCCCCCCCCCCTTCCCCAATCATGCCTTTTAATTTCCATATAAAGAAATTCTTTGTCCTCCTATCTTTAAATTTCTAGCTATGGTCTTAAAAGGATAGATGGATACATTTTTTCACAAAATTAGAACATTTTTTTAACCAATGACAATATTTATGTGATAAATTGTGTAAAATTTAAATTCACACAAAACCAATAAGCATATGAAGCACGCAGTATTATAAAAACAATCTCAAGTTTAATGCCCTGAAACAAAGTCAAAAAAGAAAAAAGTCCATAAATTTTTCTGTTATATAAATTTGATTCTTTATTTCATATCTTACCGGAAAAAAGTAGAAAGTCATACAATATATAAAAAAATTCAAACAAACAAGAAATTAAATTTTTAATTACGCTTAATTAATTATAAAATAAGTATTGAATATATTCAGAAATATGATAATAACTGATAAAAAAATAGAGTCGACTAATAAATGCTCCGAAAATTTATAAATATAATTATTAGAGAAAATTGTCATACATAATATTATTGTGTACGTATATTGCAAATGATTACATATTCAGGTTTAATATCATAATCTCAATGCCTTGATTCATCGAATTTAATTGTACAGTTTTTCGATTGAAATTGCAAAGTGCATTGAGATGATTTTCGTCTTAGTTACATTTCTAAAGTTTCTTTTAATTTCTTTTAATTTTACAAGTTTCCTTACATCCTAATATTGCTACAATTGATTGCACAAAAAACATTTTATTGCACTTTAATGTATTGCACATTAGCCCGGCCAAGCTAACATAATTGTCTTGTCGATTTATTAACAGCTAAGCTTCGTGAGAGGTAAAATTTTAATGAGGTTTGAAACTTTTAATTTATTTCAAATTTAAAATTTTTAAATCGGGAAGTTTTGAATCCTATTATTTTTTTTTGAATTTTTTTGATTTTTTTTTCAACTTTTTCAAATTTTGAGTTTTCTACATTTTTGAATTTTTTTGGAATATTTGAATTTTAAATAGATTTTTATATTTTTGAATATTCTTGATTTTTTGAATTTTTTACTCTTTGAATTAATTTAAAACTTTATCAATTTTTTGAATTTTGAATTTTTTGATTATTTTTGAACTTTTTCTTATCAATTTTTGAATTTTTAAAATTTCAATAACTTTGAAAATCAAAACACAATTTTTCTACAAACACAATTCTACCCCTGATTCCCTAGACATAAAAATAATCCAATGAACCTACATCTGAACTCCATCAAAACTTTATCTCGCACGAGAACTGATTAACCTTACTGAACTAATATTTTTAATCTTATTTAAAATTAAATTAACATTAAAATCATTCATTCATATTGCATTCGAGTTTCTTTGTATATAGGAATTGAAAATAAAATATTGCATTACGTTGATTCATAAAAGAATTGCACATGAATTGTAATTAAAAAAGAAAGAAATATTTAAATTTCTTTCGACTTTCTCTGTTAAGCACAATAAGCATAAACAGATGAACGTAATTATTGGAAAACTTATTACAGCAGCATACATTTACGCATTAAAATAAAATTGCCTACACTAAGATTATCCGATGATTAATTATAAAATTGTAATTATAACGAATATGTAAGATTAGCTATAAAATATTATTTATCTGAGTGTAAAATTAATTTCAAATATCGAAGTCTTCTAATTTACATTTATATTGCATTTTATAATCTTTAAAAACTTGACTTGAAGATGAATGAAATTAATTTCACGAGTATAAAAAAATCCCAATTTCAATAACCCAATTGTTTATAACTACTTAATTCAACTAGATTTAAAATTTTGATTGCGCATTTTTGCAGTTTTCTTGTTTTGTCAATTTTTGTTCAATATTTGCTTAATTTTTTATCGAAATTCAATCAAAAATATTTATTGTGGATTTGTTTAATAACGTATTTAATGATCTATGTGGAGTATACTCAATTTAGTATACAGATACTAAAGTATACGTAATATAGTATACTTAATTAATAGACTGAACTCAGGAAATCTTAATTATCTAATCTTAATGTGATACAATAAACTTTATATTGTATATAGTATACTCAATTGAGTATAGTTCTCAAAATGAATGAATAAATATATAACTTAATTCAAAACTGATTATTTTTGAAAAGGCATTGCATTTAGGAAACCTAACATACAACAATTTCGTATGCTTTCTCGAAATCCCGGTCCCGACAAATTTTCGGGATCGGGATCGGGATTGAAATTTTTCGGGATTTCCCGGGAAATCCCGGGAATCCCGAATATGTAAAAAAATTTAAAAAACAGCATTTTTCTGCTTTTTTTTCCAAAAAAAATTGTATATTTTTTTGCTACTTATACGGTCATTTATTCCTTAATTAATTAGTTATAATTTATGTGTTACAAGGTAGATGTTTTAATCCATGTTTCCTTTGAAAAATGTGAACATAAACAAAAATAGAAAATAAATGTTGATAAAGATGTAAGTTTAAAGGTTATAGAAAACGGTGTGAATATAATAATAAAAATTAAGCATTAATGAAAAAACTTTTAACAAATGCAATTGCATTTAGATTCTTGTCAAGTAAACGTTTTCTTTGTTTTGTAAGAATGTTGTTACTAATAGAGAAATTTCGTTCGCTTTGAGTTGAGGTCGGCTGCATTGTTATCAATGCATCGTAAAGTTGATCTAACAAAACGGTTCTCTTCTTATTTTTGTCATACCAATTAAACTCTCTTTTCAAGTTATTTGGTTCTGTTGCTGCTGCATCTGTTGTTAATGATGTATATTCAGATATGCTTAGTTTCAGTCTATCTCGAATAGAAATGTTTGACGGTTGGATTTGATTTGCACTGGATGTTGAAGCTTCCATAGCTCCATTTGTAGAGTTTTTGACAAAATACTTTTTCAATAAGTCAATGCCAAGTTTATGTATTGCAGCTTTTGTTGACGATTTAAAATGCTTGTCTAAAGAAATATATTGAGGTAAAGTATTAAGTCAATTAATGTTCCATTTCTTCGTGCACCTATGCGAGCGCAATTCATATCGTAAACCTTTTGAGACAATAATGTTCCTTGTAGCAACAATTCGTCTAGCAAAAAGTTAATTGTTCCTTCAGCAATTAATAAATCGTCTGATTTACGCAATAATTCTTCTGTCGCGTATTTAGCAGGTTCTAAAACATCAATAATTTCCTAAATTAAAAAACCGGGATTTTCAATCCCGATCCCGATAAATTTCGGGATCCCGGGATTGATCGGGATCGGTAAATCCCGGGAAATCCCGATCCCGATCCCGATAGCGAGAAAGCATACAATTTCGTAATCACTTTCAAAATTGAACTAGGTTCTCAAAACTAGAACTTAACTTTGAAAACTTTACACATAAATACGAATACTCGAACATAATCTATAATCGGTTGTTCTGTCAACTCAAGAATACTACATCCAACTATAATTCGTTGGACTCTCAAGCAACCTAATCTAGTATATAAAAATCCTATTCAAAATAGCTTGTATCTGCAAAAATGCGCATATTTCTTACCAAATATCTCTTTCTTCTTTCATTTCCTTCCATCTAATAAATTCAACAATTTTCAGTTCCACCACCAACTTTAACAGTAACAAGTTTAACTTGATTGTACAAAATTCATTATCTAATCCAATATGTAACTTAAACTAGACTACATATTTGATTATAATCAGTATTAAAAATATAAATTTCAACTAAGGAAGATAACCAAGTGAATCCTCAAGTGATGCACTAACGGGACGTTGCCCGACTGGTTGATAATATCCATCAGATTTTAAAGCAGCGCGCTTATTACTTAAATCTAAATCTTTTCTTAATATAACATCATTAGATCCATTTGCCTTTAGATAATAATCGTCATTTTTAGGATTTAAAAATTTCTTATTTTCATCAACGGTATCGTTATTATTGTTATTAGCATTATGGTGCTTCTTATGATGATGCTTCGACTTGTGTGCCTTAATATCTTTTGAAGGCTGTAGGCTTGTAATATCAGTCGTTTGACTTAATTTAACATCAGCAAAAACAGCAGCCATCTCAACACTCTTCTTTACGCTCAACGCTTCTGTTGGCTTCACGTGCCTTCCACTTCCATTTGCCGTAAACAGTTCATAATCGAGTGCCAATTTATCAACTTTACGTGATCTATTCGGTTTACTTTTCCTCGTACCACCTTCACCTATGTTGGTTGTGCTGTTATTATTATTGTTGTTGTTCTTGTTGCTGTTATTATTATTTATAGTCAATACTGTATTGTTGCTGTTGCTCTTTTTCTTTCGAGATTTTCTATCATGCAATGTGCAGTAACATCGTGAAGCACTAGCACAGCTATCAGAATCTTCACACCATGTCGTTGATCCACCTTCGACTGTTTCGCCCATTGAGCAATAGCATTTATCGTCAGAATTGCATGATGGTGATCTCCTTTCCTCCTCAGCCTTATTCAATTTTGCATTTATATCACCTGCCCCTAAGCTACAATAACACCTGTCTGCTGAATTACATGTACAATTATCTGAATCGTAGCTGCATTCTGAACATGAGACATATCTGAAAAATAAGGAGGAATGAATGAAGTTGTTAGGATATTTAATGTGATTTTTGATCAAGTAAATAGGTGATTCTGCTAGAGTAAAACCCTATGTGCGAGTGAGTATGGCAACCTAATACCCTTGTTTTTAAGAACTTGGGTTCGATTCTCACGAAAAGATGATTTCTCAATAACAACAGACAAATCAAGAACAGCAGGCTGACTTACCCACTAGAACTATTACGATTGTGTCCATTCATCGCAGTCTCAGTTCGTCTTACAGAAATTTCAGAGCCACTAGTTCCAATCCTTGATCGATTTGGTCTCTTACTCTTTCCTTTCGTATCACTTTCATTTAACTTTCGTCCATCAGCATTCAACTTTGTTGGCGACGGAGACAAACTGGGTTTCTTATTCCGAAATTTTCCCAACTTGAAGACATTTTTGAGGCTAATAGCACCAATAATTTTTGCAGGATGACTCATCACGTTGCTATTCTTCCTTTTCAACTTTTTCTTCTTTTGTCGTCTCATAATACTTTTAGATCTCTGATATAGCTCATCTTTTGTCAATGTCACGGCCAGCTTCAGCAAGAATTCCTTATAAATTGGCTTTAGATCATTAAATGACATTCCATCAGTATTGATTATGGCATTTAAGATCTCATCGAGTGAATGCAAATTTTCTTGTAGTCGAAACTCATTAAATAATTCAGAAAATCCCAACGGTGATCCACCACCTCCATTATTTGCTCCAGTTACTGATTTTCCAGTCAAATTCCTCCTCGTTGCTCGCGATTTGTAACGTGCAAGTCCAGCAGTGTTGAGGAAACTACCCGAACGTGGAATGGCAACTTTTGTTAAAATATCTCCACAGCCATCTTTCAAGCTATATGGATCTGTCTTTTCTGATCGTCCTTTACTTAAACGACGTTCTGTTGATGATTTAGATTTTCCTGATAAATTTCCATCACCACGACGTGAGCGATCTGGTCGACGGTCTGCGAATGACAGAATAAAAAAAAAATCAATTAATACTGTTTGCAAACACATATCAGGATCAAGAAGAAAGAGTAAATCATCTCAGATGAGAATTATTAATCAACTAAGCCTCATGTTGAAATGAACGGCATGTAATTAATTAAGTTCGTACTTTCAGTTTCTAAAAAAAAAAAATTAATTAACTTACTTATATTAGGCGGATTAAGAGGCAACGGTGGTGCTTTCTTTGTATTATGATTCTTATTGACCTCGTCCGATGATGTATCAAAATCTGGATGTTGACCTTTTCCATTAATTCCAAGACTTTGAATAACATCGCTATCACTGCTCAATGAATTAGATGCGCTACGTTTTTTCCTAGGCGGTCTAGCAGGTGGTGGTATGGCTGGATAGTTATGTTTGCTTCTTGTACTTCCACTTCGACTGCCGCGAAATGATGATTTTGTTGAAATTAATGCATTTGTTGCTGCTGAACTACTTGCGATACTCATACAGCCGATTCCATTACGATTTTTTGGCTTTCTGGTTCGCTGATTCTATTTTCGTGGCACACAAAAAAAAGAAAACAATGTTAATATTGCTTAAAAAGTTTCAATTTGTTTCACTTTTACCTGACTGCTGCCCATATATGCCATTAAACTTTGATATAATGTCGCAGCTATAACAATAGCATCCTCTGACGATTGACAAATAAATCCATGGCATTCCAATTGCTTTGCAATGTTAGGCGATTTCATAACAACAGCAAAGAGAGGTGAATGCAGACTCGATGAGAGTCGTCTCTTGTCAGCGACACTGTGGATGGGAATGTGAAGATTATGAAGGATTAGTGACTGAATCATATTTAAACTGAAGATTGACACCAAACTTGTCATTTTTTGAGGCATTCCTAGGATTTTAAGCTCACGATTGCGAAGCAAACCCATGTCACGTGACACAATACCATCTTCATAAACCCTCAATTACACCAAAACCCATGAATCCAAAAAAAAACTCACCTCAACGGTTTAAACAGAATCGCCTTATCGATATTCTCCGGATCTGTAATTAATGGCAAGAATGCAGCACCACCCTCACTTTGTGAAACAACAAATTTAACTGCCGACCACACAGCAATATTTTGAAATGGCGTAATTTGTTGATCACGTCCATTTGCCAAGCTTATTCTTAATCCTTTAGGACTTATGTCGAGTGTACCAGCATTTTTTGTCTAGAAAGGAATTAAAAGATGAATAATTAACAGAATTAATTAAGTTTGTAAATTAATTATTTAATGAAAAGTTCAGCAAGCACCAAATTGATGTTAATGTGAGGACATTAGTGCCACACATTGAGAATCTCGAATAAAATCTTACAAGAAAGACAAAACCCCAGTGACTATAGACGTGTAGCATGTGCAATCATTACCGTATGATGTATAATTAAGATGAAAGATAATTTCCAAATCTATGTTGTGTTCTGTTCCATTTTAATGACTCGATAACGATCAACATCTTACCAGAATTTAATTAAATTAAATGAAAATAAATTAAAATTCTTTACAGTTCTTTGCCATATTTTTATGGATGATGAAAGCTCATTTTTGAGGAGATTTTTTCACTCATTAACTGACATAAGTGAGCATTTCTACCTCGTGGTCAAGACGATATGCCAAAAAATAAACATTTTTATAACTTTTTAATTTTTTTATTGCGGCACTTCTAGATCGATCGTATCTTATGGAATCATTTTTACAGAAATTACAGACCATGTGTGATGATGATGATAATCATTTTAGGGCAAATCACGGGTTATTTAGCATACATTTACGAAAATCAAAATGAATTTATGACCATCTTTTGTCTTTAAGGTCTAATTTTGTAAAAAGCACAAAAGAAATTAGCAATTGTGAGATTGATGTGGAAAATGGCACATGCTATTGAAAATGGGTGTAAGATCTGTTAGATGTGGATCATATAAATCAGAATAGTCTATGTAAGAGCCAGTAACATATCAACCATGAGAAGAAGTTACTCAATTTTTGAAATCATAGAGGTTTAATCATCCAGAGTCCTTAGCCCAAGACTGAAGCATGACGATATAGGAGTAAATCAAGTTGCAAGGTTTTAAATTTCAAGGGGTGTGACACTATCTGAAATATTTTTAAAATATTAAAAATACCATATTTAAACCAGCTAAGTATGCTATTCTTGAATATGATACCAACGTCCATGATATCATCCTGTATTTTAAGGGACGTGAAACTACGTCAACCGAACAAATCTTAGCTATAACTTTGTCATATTTTAATGATATAAGCCGGTTATAGTGTAAAATTCTCTTTATTTTTGACTTTAAAGGGTGTGAAACTACGCAAAATAATACTCAAAATGCGCTCTATTCTTAGTAATTTTTTAACTTGATCAAAATTGTTTTTGATGATATGGAAAAAAGAAACTTAACTGCACAATACTAAAGAAAAAATATATTCACAAAAATTGAAAATTTTGTGTGAATATGAAATGTTTTATTTAAAAATTAATAAATTTTCATTGTTATTAACAGACTTGCTGAAATCTCATCTGAACACAGAAAATAATATTTTTTTTGGTCTGAATTCATTAAAACTATTTTCATTGCTTCTGTTAATGTCTGTGTGTACTTTACAGCATGATGAATGAATGGAGAGTAGAAGTAAGAAATAAGAGCATAAGTGGAGATGTACATATGTAATTAATGAAAGGTATGAGCAAGTGTAGTAACAATATGGAGATGAATATTCAATTAACGGCGTTTTATTTTCATTCAGCTGAATTTATCTTCTGTATATGTTAGAGAACTAGCAGTTGTTGCTCTATAAAATAAATTAAAAATTCATAACTCACCTCATGTCCAGCATTATTCAAATACAGTTGCCTCAGTGGATCCTGCAGACCCACTAAACTTGTAACCTTTGTCGTCAATGGCAATGCTCCCAAATAATGTATCGAAAAACAATTTCCTATGCTCGCTGTCGGACTATCATTTGCAATTTCGGTAAACATTTTCTCAATTTGTGCTTGTACGCTATTTTTAACAGAATTTGACGGCGAAACATTATTAAACTCATTTTCTGTAATTGCTTGTAAGCGATCATGCGATTGCCTGTTGCTCCTGCCACTTATCGATCCACCACTTATCGACGAGGCGCGTCTTCGTTCACGCAACGATCGCTGACTTATGATGGACCTAAGAGACATGTCGAGATGGATGAAAGTAATTAGAGATAATTTTAAAAATGTTTATTCATTTAAAATTGATCTTCATAAACACAGCAATATACAACACAAATAGATTAGGATTTATTTTATTAGATCTAATTAAGCATGAAAATGGTTTAAATCGTGTGCCTTGATTCCAAAACAATAGTCCAAATTTTTCATTCATAAAACAATTTTCCAGCGTTACTTTTATGTGAAATTGATTTATTAGTGACACTAGGGCTATTAAAAATTTTATAATGTAAATTTCTTTCATAAAAGAAATGCTTTATGTCTCAAGATTGTTACACAATAAAGTGAAGAACAATGGAAAGATAAAGACGTGAATTTAAAAGGTGATGAATATTTACATTTTTGAGTCTTAATCTTAGTCAAATTAATTTACATTTCTATTGTTGGAATGGTAATGAAAAATATTTTTTTGAGAATTTTTATGAAGATTGTTTGGATATTAAATTAGTTTTGCTGAAAGCGAAAGTTTAAGTTTGTCTAAGTTGTGACTTTTTTTGATAATTTGCAGATTAGACATCAAATTGACAATTTTACTTAAAAATGCAAGCAAACTAGTTTTAATTGATAATTAAAAAGCTATCGATATAGAGCAAAAATACGAATTTATCTCATTTGCTAATTAATTTCTATAAATTAAGGCTTTAAATCCGTTTAGTAAAGCTGTATCATTCAATAAGATGTAAAGTAATGAGTTGATAAGAAACTTGAATTTAGAAATTTGTGTTAATAATTTCAATAATTTTAACACAAATCTCTTGAAAACTTGTCGACAGATCTGACTATGTGGAATCCTATATCAATTCAAAACAAGGACATTAATAATATTTTTCTGTCATTTATTTCATTAAAGCTTTCACAGTAGATTCATATTTTAATTGCATTTTCTAGATCAGGTGCTTCATATCTTAATCTCAATAAATTCACTGCTAATTAATTTATTTCTTAGCATATTACATGACACAGTCATTAAACAACATCATCACTTGCAGTATAATTATTATCCTCACACCTCTGCCTACATTGAAAATTTCTCTCTTTGCATGTTTTTACATCTGAATTCATTTTTCACTCAGACATGATGTTTCAATAAATGAATTATGTTCACTAATTTATCAGCAGTTTCCTCTCCCCCAATTAAATTAATTATTTGCGATTACTTAAAAATTCATTAATTTTTTTTATAACTCTCTCGTTGCATTGATTTCAATAAGCAAAATGGATGGCATTTAATTATTTTTAGCAGAAGTGATGAATGTGAGTAATTAACCTACACATCAGTAAATATTGTAGTAAGAAAAATTGTTGATATTCACTTGCTGAGCTCGAGATTTAAGATAAAAAGTGCAAATGAGGAGAGAAAAAAAGTTCAGCTAAGTGAATTCTTGAGCTGAATTATGAGAATATAGTTTTGAGCCAGAGTTGCGAAACAGGTCACCTGTGACAGGTCAGAACCTTTCAATTCCTTGATAATTTGTATGGTTTTGTTAGAAAAACCTTATAAATTATCAAGGAATTGTAGGGTTTTCACCTGTCACAGGTGCCTGTTTCGCAGCTCAAAATTTGAGCATTTTGAGCATCACAGCTCAAAACTTAGTCAAAGAGTTCCGTACAATTAAAAAACAGAAACTGACAGACTTTTGTCATATTTAACATTGTTGGAACAAATAGCTCAGGAACAGCAAACGGCATAATCTAAAGACTTTAAGATAGAACAGAGCTCTAAGCAAACTTCAGAGGCACAACCCTATTGATAATCTACACCAGAGCTTTTTAAACTGTTATCTATGCCAACCCTTAACTGAGTTGTGAATTGAATGGTGAATTAAAAAGTATGATCCAAGAAGCAAAAGTGCCTTGATAGCTCAGTTGGCAAGGTACAGGTCACAAAAGTTCTTGTTTAATTTGGACTTCCGGGTTCAAATCTCACCACCATCCTAGTGAGTTTTCAGAAGTTTAGATACTTTGGCTTCTTAGGTGCAGTAGTTTAAGACGTACAACTAAGAACTAGGCGATGTGAGATGTAAGAACGGGTCAAGAATTATGTAGGCAGAATGAGAAGATACGAGAGCCGTAAATTAACCATGTAGGGATGAACTTTGTTAAATTGATAGTTGATTTCATGGTTAAGTTTGGCTCATTGTTCATTTGAAGTCTTCTAGGGATACAAGGACATTTTAGATGGCACACATCCCACTTCCATGAATTGTGACAAGATGCATTGCTAGCGGTTTGGATTCTCCTTTCAATAAGAAGACAAAACAATCCATTTATGCCAAAATAATGCCCTTATCGCATACTATTATCATATAAAAATGCGCCACAAAACACACATCCACGATCAATTCTTTATCATTATTTCTAAAGTTATTAACATTAATGATGATCTCTTTCTACCTCATTTCTGCACACATTTATTACATTTTTTTGCTTTAATTATAATTAAAAGCATCACGCTCACGCTAGAGATCCATCTTAATGTAATGTAATGCATACACTCAGCACAAAAACAACCAACACAATTTTCATTAAAGGAATTGCATAATGCACTTCATAAAAGTAGTTAAGTGATTGCAATCAATCATGATATTTAATGCATTTCCTTCTTACTTTAAGTGAATGCTCACGACAACCACTGAACTATTTTCCACTTCTTCATCATCGTCGTTGTCGATATCACAATAATTTCTGGAAATTTTTCTGTGCGTTTCAATGCTTTGAATGTTGATTTTTGACATAAAAGGGACACTTTGAGTTCACTTCCAAATTTTTATATTCATAGCTTTTTTTTTTGTTTAAATAAAAATAAAGTTTTCTTCTTCACGGACGAGCACGATGCAAAATGAGCTCTTTACACTCGAAAATAACTTCACTAAATGCCGCACTTGAAATTTCTTTTTTCCAAAATATTTAAAAAATAGTTGGAGATTTTTCTTCAGTTGGTACACAGGCAGCACACAGTTGTTACACATTCAAACGACGAGCGATTCCCGAGCGGCACAAGGTGGAGGGTGGTCTCCATATGGAATCCATATGAAAGCCACCTCCACTATGTGGGAAGTAAATGGAGGGTTATTTTTTCATCCTTCATATTGATTCCATTTGGATTCCATATGAACTCCGCTTTTTCTTAAATCAAATACCGAAAAACTCGTGCTTTTGAATTTTTAAAAGACAGAGGTCAGATCTTACTGCAATGGATTGAAATATTGTCGAAAAGCTTTACTGAATCATATTGCTTCATTTCAAGCTTTAAAAAAGCAAAAAAGGATAATTTTTTGTGATTTTGTATGAAATTACATACTTCACAAGCGCATGCAGAAATCACTATTATATGGGGTCGTTTAATTTGTATGAAAATTTTTAATAATTTCTTATGTTTCTCACGCGTGTGATCGAGACTTAGAAATTGCTGTGGTTGCGACTTAATTAAATTAAGTTGTAAATTTTTCATTGGTGTTAGTGTACTTTAATTAAGTCCACTAATACAGCTACAAATCTTGATATAAAAATTGCGAAACATAGAAAAACACGTGGAAAATCGTACCAAAAATCCTTTGAAAAATACTTCCATTAAACCTCCGTTTGACTACCACAAATGGATCCTCCATCCTCCATCAAAACCTCTCAAATGACTTCCATTTGGTGTTAATAAATGCACGTCCCACGGAGGATTTTCGGAGCTTTGGCTCCGTCAAAGTTCCATGATAGTAAGGTTTTCGGAAGATTTTCAAATGGAGGGTGGAACATGGAGGCTCCGTATAGCTTCCATATGGAAGGCAAATGGAGCCTTTGTGCCGCTCGGGATTAATAACAAAACAATGAAAAATCGAAAAATGTAATTTAAAAGAAACATAAAAATTAAAAACTCAGACAAATGCGAGTGAATATGAAGAAGTACGTGAAATTTTTGTGTATGCCTATGTGTATATGGAGATATATAAATTTTGGCCAATTTTCTGCAGCAGTTACGATAAGTCGTGGGGAAAAGATGTTAGTCATTGATGTAAAAGAAATCTTCATTTATATGCTTAATAGCAAGTGTTGGGGGGATTTAGAGGAAATAGCTTATTTTATAAGCGCATCTGTGGATTGAAAATTCTCAAAATTGTTATCTGATGTTTTCAGTTCTGGCCAACATATGTCATGTTTACAGTAAGTCAGTTTTTGTCCTAATTTGATTGAGTATTTTAATTAGAAAAAGATGAGTCGACGAATTTCAGTTGAGGAAATTGACTTGATCTGTTTAGCAACTCAAAACAGGTGAGACTTGATAGCTGATTGGATTGCTAATCCGTTAAGAAAATTAGATTAACTTAAGTAATCGAATTTAAATCTAAAGCTTGTTTGAAATTCAACAATGATCATCAATTATGATTGGCTTAGGTTTACCGATATTTCTCAAATATATTTTGGCGGGATTTCTTTATTTTTGTATGATTTTCCTTAACCAAGCTCAAAAATGACTAACCCAGACAAAATGCTTCTAACCGAACTCACCCACCAATTTTAATAAAATCAAGTTAAAAATCTATTTTTAAAGATGAACTAAAGAGAAGCAAAAACACATTTTAAAATCCATTTTCATTTCTTTTCTTATTTAAATTTCATTATTATAATTTTCGCAGCACGTCTTAAGCACAAGATTTCTTCTAATTTACTTTAAGTATGCTGCATGATTCGTTTTTTTTTCTTCAATGAAATAATTTCTTCAGGTTTTTGGCCTGTCATTTGGGTGTGTTGTTGGTTTTGGGACATGGCATGTCAATTGGGTAAATTAAAAGGATTAGGTCCTTGGAAGTCCCTAGAAGCTCCTGTCTACCAATTCCTGAGATTCAGCCTTTATTTTCAAAATTGTTAATGTTTATTCCCAAAAAATGGATAACATCCAACAAAATAAAAACTGCATTAAAAGCTTCCAAAAAACAGACCACCTTATGTAAGTTCCACTTTATATCAAGTGAGAATCATTAACATCTCAATAGGAGCATTCCATAAATTGTCTATTTTCAGTTAAAAGACAAAAGCATTAAAAAGTTTCTGAAGCAGCCAGAACTAAGCACTATAATTGTTTAATAGCACAATGGCACATAACGTAAAAGTTGTATATTGCTTAGTGTTTTATTAATAGCATATAATCAATAATTTCCTATTTAGATCTTCCATAAAAAATCATCAACAAAAAGTGGAACTGAATGAAATTAAACAGAACTTATTGTTCCATTTCTAAATGTAATTTCATTATTAAAAATAATAATAACAATTTCGATTCCACACATTCGAGATGAAAATTAGGTTGATCGTCCAGTTCTTTTCCATTATTATTGCATATCCAACAATAATGGGATTCAAATGAGATTAACAATCAAAACTTACCGTGAATCATCGAACATTGCATCAATCCGTTGCTTATAAATTGAATTCTTGCTTACGGTTGATACAGTTTCACACATCTCAAGACCCATACTGCCCATACTTCCACTTCCCGAGTAATGTGCTGTTGTTGTTGTTAGATTTGCACCTAATCCACCATTCGCTTCGATTAGCAGACGAAATCCCGATGCTGATGATATGCTGCCGTTGATTGATTCCAATTTCTTTGCAATTATTGTCGTTGTTGTTGTCTTGATGGATGAATCTCCTCTGCTCATGTTCTTTGAAACTGCCGTCACCATATTATTTTCTTGTGATGATTGGTGTGGGGATGGTTGATGGGGTTTGGTCCGAAATCTTTGATGACTTATGTCTAAACTTTAATTCACAAAGTTTTTCTTAAATTCGAGAGTCACATATTCAAGTCATTCTCATGACAATCTAAGTCATGTCCATCAATATTCCAAGAATCAATGACAATTTCCCACTTCCGTTGAGGAATTTATGCAGCAATGCACAATACAAAACGTGATCATGAACTAATGTAGAGTATGGCGTTATTATTGCAATTATTTGATGATTATGCCACAAATCATACGGACAGTAAGAGAGCAACAAGGTGAGATGAATTGTAACAGCAGCAGATGTTCTATAATTCTTTATATCGTCAAGATTTTATCTCGACTTATTGGAAACACAAAACAAAGTTTATGAATGATGAGAAGTCGGAGTATTTGGGTTAGATATGTGGCATGAGCTAATTATGGATTCTCTATTCTGTCCAATAATGGAAGTTGTGCAGCAATAACTAGCAATTAACACATATCCAGCATAGATTTCTTGTCTTTCCAGTTTGATCCACCTTAGAAAATCTTATTATTATTTTTTCTCCTTCTGCTTCTTGCTTTTTGCTGATGATCCACACATATACACTTTCCAATGTTGGCAATGATGAAATTAATTGCAATATCTCGACAAATGAGTCGATCGCCTTGCTTTTTCTCGATGATTGTTAATTATACAGAAGCTGAATGAATAAATTAATTGTTGGTCGTACTTTATTGATGATGACTCTAAGGCAGAGAATATAGAACGAAACAGAAGTGAAGAATAAAACTCAATGTCGATAACGGAAGCAACAAAACTCATGCAGCAGCTGATGATCTTTTTATTTTATCATTTTCATTCCTTTGTTATTACAGCCTTTTAGGCCTTGTCAGCATGCTCTCATGGTTGAGAATACTTTTTATGGATCTATAAAGAGAAAATAAGAAGAATAAAAATATAAGTTTAAAGGCAACAACAAAAAAATTGTTTACTAATCGTAAATTTTCAGTTTATGATGATCATTTAATGTTCTTAATGAGACTGTTAATTTTTCTAGGAAATTATGAAGCCATTGTTGCTAAAAAAAATTTAGACTTTAGTGCTGTTGTAAATTAGAAATGTCATGATATCCAATTATTATTTTTTCTAAGTCATAAATTTTTTATGTTATTAGGAGTTTCTATTCTGATTAAATTTTGTTTTTATTAAGCTTTAAGCAGCACAAGCTTAGGATTAATGCACAAATTATGTTTATCAAGAATTATTGCAGAGGATGTTAAGGCAGTAGCCAACACAGCGTAAACAATCGGGATTGATCTAAAAAATTCCTAGAAAATCCTAGCCCTTCTTGTCATCAAAGTTTGAATGCCACTTGAAATCCCTCAAATATTTATCAACTGAAGTAGAGATTTCAAGTCAGATTCGAAGTTTAATGACAGGAAGTGTTAAGATTATTTTGGAATTAAACAGAAGTGTATACGTCTTTGTAGCCATGATTTATCAAGAGATTATCCAATTTTTCATAAACATTTACTCAACTACGGACCCCCTTGAAACCATATACACCTCAGTCATTTCTTAAAGAAAAACATTATTTACATATTTATATAAAGTTCCTAACGGAGAACATGTCCATTCTAATAGCAACCTGTTCTCTATAGAGATAGCACATGAAAGTAACATGCCTGACAGAATATGATGGAATACCTTTTTGCTTTTATGATAAATAATGCAATGACATCAGCACATGCATCAGCAGCTTTTAATACTGGATAATGCATAAGCGATAAATCAATCAATCAAAATTGTCATCAAATGTCATGTATTCTGCGTTGAATGAGATGATCTGAGAATTAATTTTAAACAGAAACAGAGTTAAATCCAGAAGGGGGATTAAGCAAAAATTGTTGAGAAAAAAAAAACGCAAAAATGTTTACTGTGATGAAATTTCCAAGTACCCCCCCATATAAACCATCTCAAAAAATGCTGTAGATGTTGTCGGAAATAAAATTAATTTTTCATTAAATGCTAAGCTATCTCCATCTATTGAGCACTCGTAAACAACACAAAAAAATTAAAATTAATTAATAATTGAATTTCTTTTAAAAAATTTGCCTCAATTCTATTGATCAATCAGGACTATTGATTCATTAGAAATTCCTTAAATCTTAGCCACAAAACTTTCTACAGTATGACCATTAAGCTATGAATTTTTATTAACAATAATAAAAGAATTGTCGCAACCAATTTAAACCCTCAAATTACCATTAATATCCACAATTGTCTACATAAGGTAGCACAGACCGATAAATATAAATTACGGATATTAATGTACAATAAATTTATTGAGATGTCACTTACAACATCGGCACATTCATGAACACGATATGCCGTTAACGATCAGATAATAATGATAATTGCAAATTTTTTTTCTGTACTTTTTATTTCTTCTCGAAGTTGTGCATCTCTTTTATTTATTTTTTCAATGCGACTCCTTTACGAGCATTTTTTTTAAAACCTTTATAGAGAAAAGTTTTAATCAGCGATGGAAAGAGTTGAATGTAAGCAGAGAAAACGAACCGTATGAATCTTTAATATTATTGATAGAAAAAATAAATAAAATTTCTTAGAAAAAGTGTCTGCAAGTAGAAAAGTCACAGCGAATTTCCGAATAAGACGCATTTTTAAAAAGGAGGTTTAGGGAAGTTTACTAATGATGTCTGATTGTTGGGAGGTAAGAGATCTATTGCTTTTATGAGATTAAAGTATTTTGTAATTTATAAGCAAATATTTGCGGCAAATTCAATTTTCAATAATATTTAAATTCTGGAAGCTAGCTTTTAAAAGCTAGAGACATTATTACATTTGGTATCAAGAGTATAGAGACAATAGCCAGGAATTACAGCCAGCAGTTATAGACAACAACGTTTAATAGGTAAGTCAAACGAACAGGCGCGTAGCCAGGAGGGTTTTGTCCCCCTCTTAAGGTTTTTAGGCTGTGCTCTCGCTCTGTGGTTCAAAACGTTTAAAGGGGGGACAAGGCCCTCCTGGCTATGTGCCTGCAAACGAACCAATTTAGACTATGAACGATACGATTCACTTTATGATAGATTTTAAGAAATAAACCATTAGCAACAGCATTCACTTATCTGTCCAAAAAGACCCCATAAAAATACCATCCAAGAAACTTTTCAACAATATAGCAATAAAAATTTTCGAACATAAAAAAGAAGAATAAAAGAGAAATAAAGTTATTAATTTGATTATATGACTCATTGCCACAATAGTCAAATAAATTGCCAACAATTACAACTGATCGAATGAGTACCTCAAAAAGCATTATCGTCTATGAAGCGAGCGCCATCGTCAAATTACATAAATCAACATTAACATGTGTAAAAAATTAGCCATAGAACGATAGATGGAGAAGAATGAGAAGGTTATAAAAATGAAATTAACAATTTTTCAGCATGAATGAAAGAAACAAATCGATGAACAATGAGAAATATGGAAAAGAATCAATAGAAAGAAATCTTCACACGATGTTGGATGTATTGAGGAAAGAAAAAGAGAAAAAATTAATTACAATTCGATATAAAATAGCTGGATCATTATGAGAAATTCAATGAAAAAAAAGTGCTCGCATTTTATCACACAAATTTTCTTTCTCAGCTCATGTTCTTTGTATTTGGCAATCGGCATGAGAAAAATCAATGAAACAGCAGTGAGTGGTACACACACGGAGAGAGTCATAAAAAATTGTGAATATGAGAATGTACATGTCAGTAATGACTAAAAGTAAAGAGATGTACTGTTAATTTGAATTTTGGAGCCGAAAAAAAAAAATAAAATCCAGAGTACTTTTGTAAGAAGATTAAAACAATTAGGTAATTTCATAATTGTGCGGTAAGACGAAGAAAATAGAAAAGAACGGAGGGGAAAAGAGAGCTAATTGAAAATCTAAAGAAAAACTGTTTCAAAGGTTCATTAAACTTGTTTTATATTTTTGATCTTTGCATAAAAGTGGGAGATTGAGTTGGAAAATTGATTATTGAACGCATTTTATATTGTGTTGGAGTTTTTGTTTACATTTGAATGTGCATTACAAGTTGTGATTCATTTTAAACGGTTATTTGATATTTAAATTCTAAAGTATTTCTGATATTCCCCTATTTTTCTCACCTGAAAAAGTTTTTTGTCAATTAAAACATTTAAGATAGTATTATAAAGCTTCAAATCACCAAAGTTTAATGCAACAAAGTGGCAAGCAATAAATAAAGACTATTTGAGCTTCATATCATAAATAAATGTCTTGATTTACACAAAATAAATTTTATTCTAAAGCAAAATGAACCTAAAATCATATTTTATTCGAAAGGTTTCTCCGGTAAGCTAGATTTTCTCAAAAATCTCAATTAATCTTAAACAACCAAACTGAGCAGTCCCAATTCCTCTCAAAAAAACCTACAACAATATTTTTAATTCCAATTCTTCCCAAAACCTTCTCAATCCCTTCACTTACTTATGTTCTTTATCCATACAATTATTATTCTTTGAGTTCAATTAATTGATTTTCGTCGAAAGAATTCTCTTCGATTGCCATTCAATACATCTGACGATTAAAATTATGCAAATGACTTTTTCGAATCTCAGAAGAAGAAAATCTCTTTAAGTCGGTGTAATTAAAGATTAAGATAACACAAGAGGTGAATTACAATGTGAGGAGTCAATTTGTTCATGTATCTTTTAAGTATTATGGATTTGTGATATGAATTGGAATTTAGTGTTTGCATTTTTTTTGTAACATGATCGAGAAACACATGACTTTTTATGCATATAAAATGAAAGTTATTAGCAGTTGATGAGCTTATGAGATAATAATTATTATTTTTTCATGTTACACAAAAAAATAATATTTACAGTAAGAAGAGTTTAATATTATTTACTTTAACTTTTGATTGAGGCACAGAAAATAAGAAAAAGCAAATGTTGAGGTGCATTATGAGAAAATTGCGGTTTATGTTTGTTAAATTGTAGCATAATAATGTTGGATGTGATTTATCTTTTATGAAATCAATCATTGTGATGTATCGCTAACGATTCTTTTGTCGATTTGCAGATTTTATGAAGTTTTTGTTGGAGATTGACTTAAGTTTTCTTATCATGTAGCAATGTTTATATCCAAACTTATTCATATGCCCGTACCCAAACCTAACCCAAATGCATATCCGTTTAATCTACTCGTGTGTAATATTGTCCTTATTATGATATCTAAGAAAATATGAAGAACTGCTATTATATGCAATCAAATCTCCTTAGATCTACCGCTCAAGCGCTTGCGATTTTCAACCATTGTCCCCAATCTCTCGAACTCAGTCACCAGAAGTATTTTAATACAAGTTAAATTAATATGCATGCAGCATTATCTTACACATCGCAACAATTTGATGCCATAACTTCCGTCATACATAAACTTTATCCCATATAATATCAACCCATGAATAAAGGCATTTGTGCTACTTAGGCTATAATTCCATAGGTTCATTACTAACGATCAATTAGTTTTATTTCCTGACGATTTGCATCTTATAATAATCTATCAATTAGAATACTTTAAACATTCTAATGTATGTAAATCAATGCAATTAAGTATGATTGATTTTGAATTGGCACAAGTTCATTATGCAAATGTCTATCATATTAAATCATTTATTGGATTAATAGGCATATTATTAAATAAAAGAATCAGACCATTCAGTCTGCAGGTTGTTTCTTCTTTTACAAAACATTTAAATTCAATTTTTATTTTGTTCTGCTCACTGAACTTGAAATTGATTCTGATTTTTATTATCATTATCTAAATGAGGATGTCTGTGATTTTATGTGTGGACTTAAGTGTTTAAAATGATTTTAATTTAACAGACAAA